CAGTAAACACATATAAGAGCTTAAAATAAAAAAAAAAAAAAAACTAAACAAAAAAGACAAGATAACAAAACAGAAAAAAAAAGGATATTTGGGATGTTTTGCTTCTGTGAGTTGAACTTACAATGTGTCAAGGATGGGATGAAAAAATTAAAAATATTTGATTTTCATTGGAAACTTCCTAGAATTTATAATAAGATACTTTTGCATCTTACAGAATGTACCTCAGAGAACATTACTTGAAGTATTACCATAGAGGAAGTGGTAGACAACCTCAGGCCTCCAGCAAATCTCGTCATGCCTGTAGGCAGGCAGTGCCTTGTGCGATTTGTAGTTCCACTGGCACGCTGAGATTGCCTACCCCTGACTATAGGATAAAGGGGCATGCAATGATAAGCCCTAGGTCAAACATACTGAGCATGGCACATCACCTTCAGGAGGCACACCATCTCACCACCAGGGTGGGTCCATGACGGTTTCAGGGCACACCGGTGTCTTCAAGGAAGAGTACCACCCCACTGATAAGGTATGATATAATCTCTTGGAGGTCACATGGTTGACTGCCCTTATCCCAAAGCAATTCACGTGTAGGTGGCTAGATGCTCTTTACACTCTGTGTTGCATCTCTTTTTTTTTGAGATAAGGTAAAACACTCGGAATTCATTTCTTAAAGGAGAACTATGAGGGGGGGAGGGGGGTGCTTTTCACTCACCTCATAGTTCTAGCCGACCTGTGACAATGAGACTGTCACAGGTCGGCTCAGTAGATCGGGAAGTGAGCGAACACATACCGGCGTTCGCTCACCTCTCGATCCTGTCACGGCTCTCTGCCGTGACAGGGGAGGGGCTGGATTCCCCCCTCCCCGCTCCGATCCGCCAGCGCTGACTGGCGGAACGGATGGGGGAGGGGGCGGGTACAGCTGGCTCTGCTTCTAGATAGGCAGAGCCACCTGTCAGTCACGCAGCTGGGCGGATCCCGGCACAATTGTCGGGATCCGCTTCAGCTGCGGCGTCTCAGTATACCGCGAGCAGCAGCTCCCTATATACTGAGCCTAGGGTGATGGGAGGATGCTAGTTTGTATCCTCCCGTTACCCTAAGAAGAAATATGGGGAAAAGCCCTGACCCCATAGTTCTCCTTTAAGAATAAATGAATCATTACATTTGAAATATTTCCCTTTATAAGTGTCATTTTCTTACCTTCTTAAGATTCAGCCCATGGGAAATGTTGTCCGCTGTTAAAAATGCTGACACCAGATGGGTGATGGAGCCGGCTTCACCGCAGTGTGGTCGAAAGAGAAAAGTGCTCATCCCTCTCTCTCTGTATAGGAAAAAAATATATATGAAAGACTATGAGACCATATCGCACGGGATAGCAATAAAGTTAGGTGGAAAAAAAATAATTCAATACATATTTTAAAAAAATATGAAGAAATAATTAAATAAAAAAATAAAAAGTTTTTAAAAAATAAAGAAACAGTAAAAAAAATGTGAAACTAACCCCGCCGCCCCGCCATCTGGTTGCCATTATTGCCGCCCTGCCATCTGGTTGGCGTATTGCGGAACCTGGCCTTGGGGCGGCAGGGAGAGTAAATCCGGCCCTGCCCATAGCACAGAGGTGGGCATCCTCGGCACTCCAACTGCCGTGAAACTACAAGTCCCATGAGGCATTGCAAGACTGACAGCCACAGATATGACTCCCAGAGGCAGGGGAATGGTGGTATTTGCATGCCATAGCATGCCAACCATGAATTTCCTGTTCGAGTAGCCAAGCCACTGAAAGAAGAGTGCTGATTGGCTGCCAAATTCCTATGCGTTACTGCATTGTCAGGCCATATAATAATGTACAGGTGAAACTCGAATAATTAGAATATCGTGCAAAAGTAATTGCAGTAAGTGCTGCAAAAGGGGCCCAAACCAAGTACTGAGTACATATGCATGCTTGTACTTTTCAGAGGTCCGATATTGTTCTATGTACAATCCTTGTTTTATTGATTGTATGTAATAATCTACTTTTTTGAGGTTGTGGATTTGGGGTTCTTGGGGTTTTCATGAGCTGTAAGCCATAATCATCACAATGATGACAAATCACGGCTTGAACTATCTTGCTTTGCATGTAATGAGTCTCTCACAGTCACGCAGCTGGGCGGATCCCGGCACAATTGTCGGGATCCGCTTCAGCTGCGGCGTCTCAGTATACCGCGAGCAGCAGCTCCCTATATACTGAGCCTAGGGTGATGGGAGGATGCTAGTTTGTATCCTCCCGTTACCCTAAGAAGAAATATGGGGAAAAGCCCTGACCCCATAGTTCTCCTTTAAGAATAAATGAATCATTACATTTGAAATATTTCCCTTTATAAGTGTCATTTTCTTACCTTCTTAAGATTCAGCCCATGGGAAATGTTGTCCGCTGTTAAAAATGCTGACACCAGATGGGTGATGGAGCCGGCTTCACCGCAGTGTGGTCGAAAGAGAAAAGTGCTCATCCCTCTCTCTCTGTATAGGAAAAAAATATATATGAAAGACTATGAGACCATATCGCACGGGATAGCAATAAAGTTAGGTGGAAAAAAAATAATTCAATACATATTTTAAAAAAATATGAAGAAATAATTAAATAAAAAAATAAAAAGTTTTTAAAAAATAAAGAAACAGTAAAAAAAATGTGAAACTAACCCCGCCGCCCCGCCATCTGGTTGCCATTATTGCCGCCCTGCCATCTGGTTGGCGTATTGCGGAACCTGGCCTTGGGGCGGCAGGGAGAGTAAATCCGGCCCTGCCCATAGCACAGAGGTGGGCATCCTCGGCACTCCAACTGCCGTGAAACTACAAGTCCCATGAGGCATTGCAAGACTGACAGCCACAGATATGACTCCCAGAGGCAGGGGAATGGTGGTATTTGCATGCCATAGCATGCCAACCATGAATTTCCTGTTCGAGTAGCCAAGCCACTGAAAGAAGAGTGCTGATTGGCTGCCAAATTCCTATGCGTTACTGCATTGTCAGGCCATATAATAATGTACAGGTGAAACTCGAATAATTAGAATATCGTGCAAAAGTAATTGCAGTAAGTGCTGCAAAAGGGGCCCAAACCAAGTACTGAGTACATATGCATGCTTGTACTTTTCAGAGGTCCGATATTGTTCTATGTACAATCCTTGTTTTATTGATTGTATGTAATAATCTACTTTTTTGAGGTTGTGGATTTGGGGTTCTTGGGGTTTTCATGAGCTGTAAGCCATAATCATCACAATGATGACAAATCACGGCTTGAACTATCTTGCTTTGCATGTAATGAGTCTCTCTCATATATTAGTTTCACCTTTTAAGTTGCATTAGTGAAATAAATGAACTTTGCACGATATTCTAATTATTCGAGTTTCACCTGTATATTATCTACTTGTTCACTTATACACTTCACATTGTCGATTTATTACAACAGCTAGAAGCCAATCACAATATTGTGCCGAGATAGAACCCCTTCGATTTCCCCATGGTCAGTGATATACGGAGCGCCGTCACTCACTTGCGCAGGTTGTTGAGGATCATGATGTTGGCGTACATGTAATACAAGTAGTAGCTGTAAGGAGGGTTCTGCTCATGCGTCCACAAGTCAGGGTTGGGGCTCTTGTTGGAGAACATGTGATCATTGTGTTTGGATTCGTCATCCACGCTGTCAAACCCCGTCACCTAGAAGAGACGCATTTCACAGGGAAGAATTTGTATCTTATACATTGTAACATGTTTGCAGTAAAAAGCAACCGCAGTCACAATTTAAACTCCCTTGGCAGAACTCCCTGTTACCCTTTTCTGACATCGCTGTAGAAGAGGTTGAGTTACACCTTAATGAATTAGAGTTCCCTTTGTCTAATGCTAATGTGGAAGAGGCAGTGTTCCCCTTTACTGATACAACCGAGGAAGACATAGGCTTCCACCTTTAGAAGTCGACCCCGTGATAGGAGTCCTCTCCTAAGTAGAAGAAGAGGTCCCCCTTAGAAGTTCCCCCTTGATAAAAGGAGAGTCCCCCTTTCGAAGCTCCCCCTTGGTAGTAGAAGAGTTCCCCTTAGAATTTCCCCCTAGGTAGAAGTAGAGTCCCCCCTGCTTAGAAGTCTCCCCTTCCTTGGTAGAAGTTGACTCCTCCTGCTTCGAAGTTACCCTATCCTTGGTAGAAGTAGAGCTATCCCGCTTGGTAGAGTTAGAGTACCCCCTTCATAAGGGTCCCCCCTCCCTGGGTAGAAGTATAGTTCCCCACTTAGAAGTTCCCACTTTAATAGAAGTAGATTTCCCCTCAGAGGTCCCCCCATTTAGTAGACTTAGACTTCCCCCCCCTTTGAGGTTGCCTTGGTAGAAGTAGAGTCCCCCCTTAGAAGC